GGTGGTGCAGGCATCAGTCGAGTGCTTACCACGTTTGCGACAGAAGTCGCAGACGACCAGGCGGGCTCCTGTGGTACAAAGCGTAATTCTTGCGTCTTCGATCTTCCTTGGCTGGCATTCGCGCAGACCTTTCAGACGCGATCTTGCTTCAGACACAGCGAGAGGAGTTCTGTTTCTTGGTCTTCTGGCCAGCTTTACAGGATGGCGGGAAGTAACTTCATCCAGATGAAATTCTCGCTCCTTTCGACTTTTCCTTGAGTGTGCACTCGCCTCTTCTATGCCTTCACTAGGCTCCTTTGGCGAGTGTGGCTTGCATGGTACGTCTTCGAGTGGTGGGGCAGTCTGCATCATCGCCACTTCCTCGTCATCTTCAAGCAGCGTCAGGATGTCTTCTAGAGGAGGTGTGCGCTGTTTCTTTTCTATTAGCGAACGTATTTCTTTAGCGTTTTCCTCTATTTTATCCAACACTTGCTGGCTCATAGCTTTCAGAGAGTCATCGATTTTCTGTTCCATCCTGTTTTGGAAGTTCTCCATGTTGCTACTGAGTGTTTCGAATTGATCACTCATACTCGTCTGCCATGTTGTCATCGTTGAGTCGAACTCCTTGATACCGCTAGAGACATCCTTACTCTTTTTAATGAGCTTTTCCATTTGCTTCGTTAGGGTGGTAACTTCACCCTCGCCATCTGCTGAACGGCGTTCCGTGCGACTTCCGTCGTCCTCCCGCAGAACGAGGAGGTTCATCTGTTGCTCGAGACGATTAATCTGTTCTACCAATGTATCGCGTTCTTTGCGTGCCCAAGGAGGGTATTTTTGGCTGCGAATTTCTGTGATAACATTGGAAATTGAACGGAGCTCGGATGTGATGTAGACTTTTGTCGATATTTTGTCGAAGCATCTTCCATTTTGCGAAGTTTTGGTCAGGAAGTGTTCCTTCTTTGTAAGCATTGCCATTTTAGCTTTGATCATCTCGTCGTACGTATCCCAAAGGAGGTCCGAAATGTATCCAGCACATTGAAGTTTTCCTTGTAGATCGAGGAGGGTCTGATCTACATTCCTTCTGCTGTTGTACATCTTATCTGGTGATGACGATATCGTTGCAAACTTAGCTTCCATTTCGCGGTATGCTTCAATGGTTTCTTCGCTTTTCTTCAGAATGCGGTCGACTTCGTTGTTGAGTGCGAGCAACTGGTCTTGCAGCGTTTTGTCATTGATGAGGGCTCGTGGACGCAAGGCCAGTTGCTGGAGCAGCTTCTTGACATCATCAAGTCGGTTGTCCATTCTGAAACATGAATCATCAGATTTATCGTCACATAGCCTTTCTTTTTTATTAGCAAATTCTTCTTTTGTTATAATATTAACATTAAATGCTTGGATTGGCGGTCTTGGTCTCAAATTGTAGGAATGCTTGTATGAATCATGTTTGATTTGTGCATTGTTCAGTTTGTTTTCTTGTTCAGGTTCATTCGGGTCTTCGAGTTCCAGCGGGACGAGCAAGGTTGTTGGTCGTTTGATGGTATTCTTTTGACCGGTGGATAACTCTACTTCTCGAATTTCTCCTTTCTCGCTCTTCACGAGTCGGGTAATACGTCCTAGTTTCCAGTGATTTCTAGGTTGTAGTTCTTCCTGAACTAGAACAATTGATCCTACTTTCGGTTGAATATTTGTAGTTCTTCCTTGGGAGATCATGAGTTGATGGTGTTCACGTAGCGAGGCTACGTAATGTTTTCGCCATATTTCCCAAAATTTGTTTGTAATTTCACAGGAACTTTTGAGGGCTCTCTGTGCTTCAAGTCGTGTCTTCAATGCCAGTTTTTGATCTGGAGGTAGGTACGACTCATCTTCCATTTCTTGGTCTGGTACTGGATCCATTGGGTAGGTTATGTTCATTCTGTTCTGTATGAAGTCGATTGGTCTTAGACATGGGTTTTCTTCCCAATCTGCTTCCTGGTAGGTAAGAGGCCTACTGTTGAGGCAGCTTTCAATCTCCGTTATGGTTGTTCGGAGAGAATCTTCAGCCAAGACTCGTCGACCCACAGCTTTGTAGAGACAGCGTTTGACAGATTGAATCAACCGTTCATAGAATCCGCCCTGCCACGGCGCATATGGAATGATTTTTATCCAGTTGATAGATTGATCTGCCATGAATATTTCTGTTTCTTCTGAATCACGAGCGTTTTTCAGACTATCAGCCATAATTTCTTCTCCGAGAATGAACGTGGGCGCATTATCGCTAGTGATTGAGGCTGGTACTCCTCTTCTCGCGATGAATCGTCTCATCGCATTTATGAACGATACAGTTGTGTTATCGCTAACAAGTTCGAGGTGTACCAACCTTGTAGTGGCACATGTCAGGATGCAACCATAGTTTTTTGCTGTTTCTCCTGTTGCCGTTTTCACTTTAAGCGGTCCAAAATAGTCGAGCCCAACATGTTCGAAGGGCCTCGATTGTTTTACCCTTCGTTGTGGTAATTCCTTCATATTCGGATAACGGTAGGGTAAGTTATTGAATTTTTGACAAACGACGCATTTCCTTATGAGCTTAGTCACTTGCTGTCGTAGTCTTGGGATCCAGTATTTTGCTCGAACTTCGGCCATTGTATGAGCCGTAGAGAGGTGCATCCTGCCGTGAGCATTTTGAATAATAAGGTGCGCGAATCGTGAGTTGGGTACCACGAAGATAGGGTTTTTCGTGTCATCAGGTAGATCACTTTGCCCTAGTCTTCCATGGCATGTCCAGATTCCGTCATCATTTTTCTTGATGTTTAATTTCTGATAACTCGCAGATGAGAATTCATTTGCATATTGGTTTTGATGTATCTTCACGAGTGTTTTTAGAGACGATTTCAGTTCCTCAGCGTTTAGTTGAGTCGTGTTCTGCACCGCTTGTAGCTCCGGAATGGTGTTTTGAATACGTTTCTTCGAGTCTAGTGGCAAATTCCTCATAATATTTCGGAGAAAGCGAAGTATCCATGCTCCCATTCGTGTGAGTTTTTTCAAGGAGCTGTGTCGTTCCCAATTGATCCACGAATTGGTGGTCTGCACGATGTTTACAGTTAGTTCCTGTGAGGGAAGTTGGAATAGTTGCGTTTCAGATGGCCATTCGATAGGTTTCTTCTGAAGAAAACTGGGCCCCTTCCACCAATAGTGGTTCTTTAGTTCGTCTGTGGTCAGACCCCTAGTTGCGCAGTCCGCTGGATTGGTCGCCGTCTTCAAATATCCAAATAATACTTGCAGTCCTTGTTCGGTCAGCCACTGAACAATGCGGGCAATTTCTTTGACACGGTTTGCGGCTAATACGCCTAGCTGTTTGGTATCGTTGACATGTTTCACCCAGCTGAGGGCAATCTGCGAATCCGATAGAAGGTAAACTTCAGTAATATTAATTGACGACTGGAGCTCTTCTATGGTGGTTTTGGCTAAGCGTGCAGATAGTGTTAAAGCATTCATCTCCATTTTAGGTACAGTGTGCTTTTCCTTCAACTTCGGCAATTTTGACTTCGAAATCAGGAGATGATGTTCGTTGTCATTGCAAAGGTATGCACATGTGGACATAGCAACCTTGCTTGCGTCGCTAAACAATACCAGCTTGTGATTCTGGTGCTTGTTTGCCACTCTTCTAGGAATTTCTTTCGTGAATCCGAGAATTTCGCCGCTTAATTGAATCCACTGTTTGCTGTCTTCTTCCGTTAATGGAGCATCCCAAGAGTACTCTTTTTTCCAAAGTGATTGAAAGAAGACCTTGCTCTTTATCAGAAGTGGATTCAGCCATCCTAATGGATCATAGACTGATGCAATCGCATGAAGAACCGATCGTTTAGTCAATTTTGACAAACTTGGAATGTCACACTTGATTTCTAGCATGTCCGTTTTCGTATTCCATTGGATACCTAACACTTTCGGTGAGTCTTGTTTCAGCCTATCTACTTTTTTGATGAATTTGTTGACCTTCTCGTCATTTGATATGAACCCGCGAAGATTCATGTTGAGCTCTTTGAAGGTTTTCTTCGCCTTTGTGTACTTTTTCATGGCTTCCTTTGTCGACTCCGCGCTCATAAGCAGATTGTCGACATAAAGGTTGTCGTTGAGTTCACTGGCGAATTCTTCATCAATATCCGCTGTTTCCAGATGAAATCTGATTGTGGCGGCAAGGAGGAATGGTGAAGCATTCAGTCCGAAGGTGACTCTCGTAAACCGGTATTCCACGAGATTGTCGTTGTTAGGCGGCTTGGAAGTATCATACAGCCATATGAATCTTGTAGCATCCCTGTCGTCCTCATGGAGATGAACCTGCAGAAACGCCTTTTCTACATCCGCGGTCATTGCTGTCTTTCCGGTTCGGAATCGCTGCATCATTCCAACCATCTTGGGTAGAAAGAGCGGTCCTTGGTGCAGAGCATCGTTTAAAGATGGCTTTCCTACATAATGCGCAGAGGCGTCGAACACAATTCTCACTTTCGTACTTGGTTTATCTGGCGTAACTACTGCCTGATGAGGTAGATAGTGGAGGACTGTATTGACCTTTTTCTTGTCATGGGGGATTGGCTCGATTATGCCTTTTTCGAGTTGGTCCTTTATGATCGCATCGTATTCTGCAAGGAGCTCTGGTTTTTTCCTTAGTTGGAGTAGAGATCCTTGTAGTCGCTTGAGAGCTATAGACTTATTCGTCGGTAGAACTTGACTCTCTTCCTTCCAAGGTAGATGAACATAGTAGCCGTCGGCCCGCTTTTCGATGGTTTCTTTGAACCGTTTAGCAACTTCTTCATCGTGAGTTGCTTTTCGGTTTTTTCTGGGCCTGTATATTCGTTAACTCCTGATGAGTCGAATCCCCAGTATTCATCGTATATCTTCAACTCGTGTTCCATGCCTTCGGGTTGATGAGTGTGTGTTGGCGTCGGCTCGTGATGTTCGTATTGTCGTCCCGATATCATGTATCCGAACTTGGTCGGTACTAAATACAGTCCCGATGGCAACATTTCGTTTTGCTGCTCCATGACGTCCCAGAGATAGTCACAGCCTAACAGAATCTGAGGCGCGCACTGTACTCCATCAAGTTTGCTCGATAGAGGAGTACGTTTACGATTGATCACGTCCAGATCTTCTCTTGTGAGGTCGGCTTCTTTTACATGGGCTGTCAATATGGGACTGTCGTATAGGTGAAAGGTGTGGACTTTTTCCTTTTTGTCAAGTAGCTTGACTTCTACTACTCTGTGCCGATTTTCAGTCACTTCGTCAGATCCGAACATCTTCAATCGAAGTTTCGACGTTTTGACAATCGGTAGTTGTAGTTCTTCCACAAGATTTTTGTCGATGAACGATGCTTCCGCTCCCGTATCCAGCAAGATTTTGACTTCCTTTGGAGCCATTTTTGCCCAGAACGATCGCGGTTCCTGTTAAGAGTAGAGTTTTTGCTCTGCTGACACTGCCAGTGGCCCTTTTCTCTGTTTTCTCGTCGTTGGAATCCGCGGTTGTGTTGAGTCGCTCTTGGACGACTACATTCTGGTTAGTGATTGGTGTGCTTTTTGTCGTTTTTGGCGCACTCCTTTTATTTTGTGCTGGTTGCCGTGTTTGCTGTTGAAACACGGGCCGGGTGGAGCTTGTTGCATATCGACGGCCTTCTTGAGGATTTGGCGGACTGCTCGGCGCTGCACACAGCGATATGTGATGTGTCCGTCCACATTTCTTACATGGAGGATTTGGGCATACATTCGCTGTGTGGAAAGGTTTTGCACAATTGATGCAAAGCCTATTCCTTGTTAAAAAGGGAAGCCTTTCTGACAACTTGATCGTCCGGCAGTCGGCGGATTGGTGGCCGAATCGCTTGCAATATATGCAAGTGAGTCTGTTGCCACGGATTGGTTGCATGGGTCTTTCTGCAGGGCTTTCTTGAATGGCGTTTATCTTGTTTCGCGTTTGTTCGACATATTCTCTTCTTTGGAGTATGCCGCTAAGCTCTTTCTGCATTTTTGCCCATGTCCAATCCTTTGGATTTTCCAGATCGGCTCGTTTTTCAAGTGTCCGCGTCTGGATATCCTTCATCGAACTTGCTAAAGATGATGTTCAGCAGGATGCGCTGGTCAACTTCTTGGCCATTTATGGCTAGTTGACTCATCGTTGCTGTAATTTTCTCTAGTAGTTGGATTTGAGACTTTGTGTCTCTTTTTTCCGCCTTGCATCGTTGCAGATCTGCTAGAAGATCTTCAATTCTCGAATCGCTATCGCCGTATTTTTTCTGGAGACAGGCAATGGCTTCCGGATAGTTCTCTGCAGATACCTGGTACCTCGAG